GGTCAGCGCCCCGACCCCCTGATCGGCCCAGCGCTGTGCGTGACGGGGTGGCGCTGCAACCTCCCTATCGCCCCTCCCTTGAGTGTGACAGGGGGCGGTTCCCCAACCCCCCAATCAGCCCTACCCTGAGCGTGACTAGGGGTGGCATCGCAACCTCCCAATCTGTTCTTTTCTGTGTATGACAGGGGGTGGCGCCCCAACTCCCCAATTAGCTGTGAGCCAGACCACGGGCTGCACCTAGAGATTGGGCCTGCCCTCTGCCACCTAGGAGCAGGCCTAAGCCAGCAGGCCGTTATGTCCCGAGGGGTCCCAGACTGCAAGAGGGCACAGGCCGGGCTGAGGGACCCCCCTCCCCCCCGAGTGCACAAATGTTTGTGCACTGGGCCTCTAGTACATATATAAAAGCCTAAGTGACTGGAACAACCAGAATAACCAGGACAACTGGAACAATCATCGCTATGCCATGCACTGATCACCAGGGGGCAGACGCTCAACAGAGAAGATCACCCCTGGTGGTCAGTGCACTCCAAAGCCAACCTCCCCCTGGCCAGCCAACCTCCTGTGGTCCCTATCCCCCGGGCAGCAGGCCCCAATCACAGATCAGGGGCAGGCCCTGGGCTGGGTGGTGGCGGGTGTGGCCCCTTTCCCAGGGGGGCTGAGGGCCGGTTCCGTCCTTGGGGTTGGTGGCCAATCTCCTGTGCCCCATCCCTCCTCCCAGTTAGCAGCCCTATTCAGCCTGCTGCCCACCTGCCACAGTGGCAGCACGGAGGTGATGGAAGGAGGAGGGGGTGATGCAGGGGACCGCTCAGTGGCAAGGTGCCGACGATGGCAGCATCGGCTTCCAGAATCTGTTCCTTCCGTACCCAACCAGGTGACTCACCTCTTTGGCCCTGATTGCCGGCCAAGCCTAGGGACCCCACCCGTGCATGAATTTTGTGCACTGGGCCTCTAGTGTACATATAAGTTCTTTGGTTAATCTCTTCCTACCCACCCACCCCTGCCTTCCCACTGAGATTCCACAGTCTGTTCCATGCTTCTGTGTCTCTGGATCTATGCTGTCTTTTAGGCAGTGAGAGTTCATCTCAAACCTCAGCACTTTTCTTGATGCACATCTGCAAATCTAGCATAAGCTTTTCTTAGGAAATGGACTTGAGCTACAGAGGCTACCTGTATCACTTGGACATGAAAATGCTCAAGGAAGAAAAATAATTTCATGTTTTAATCAGAGTAAACTGTATTTTCTTAAAATGCTTTTCAAATCCATATTTCTACAAAAATGGATTTGACTGGCTAGTCTTAAAGACAAGTATATTAACAGCAATTCTTAAGAGTTATAATTGGTTTATTGCTTGTCTTTAAAATGCTGGTTTAGAAGTGTATTAAAATATAGTGTAACATTTTACAACTCTTTTTTGTGTTGCTCTGGTCTTAAGACTGGTGTCTCATATAATAATCCATCTAGTCATCATTGTGCATCTGTTTTCCAACAACTTTAAATGACTTTATAAACATTTCAAAATAAAAGTATGAAATAAAATTTCTTAATTTACACATATAGTTATTAATTTGACCATGAGTGGAGACCTTTTGAAAAGTCTACTATCCATCAATTGAGTACATATTTTCTTGATGAGGAAAAATTACATCCCCAACTGATGAATGCTTACTTAAGCAATTTGTCTCTAGTTCTTTACTGCTGATGATAAAGCTTTCATGAAAACAAACAAAAACTTACTCCGGAGTTTGTGAAAAATGAAAGACACTATCAAAGTCAGAGTATACAAATTTTGATACCCTAGAGCAGGCTTCCAGGAACAGGGTTCAAAGACAGAATTTAGAGATTAATTTGGACTAATAAGCATGAGCATCTTTTAAAAATGGCACATAGATCTAGAATAAATAACCTAGGCATGAATTTTTGAATTTAGAGAATGAGGTGACTGATCTTTGCTCATGAAGCATTTGGGGTTTATCCTAGACTTTGTGTGTTGTCCTTAGACAAGGGAAGGGAGAAGACATTAGGAAAGCTATGGGCACATAATTATAGGAATAGAGCACTAGGATTTGGGGAATAGTTCATAAAAGGTAGGGGGGTGGAAAAATACACCTTGCCTAATTTGCTATTGCAAAAGGATAGGAAAAGAAAAAGAAAATAAAGATTCTTCCTCTCTCTTCCCAGGAACTAAGGCTTATGCTAATATTACCAAAAATAATTCTGGAAGCATAATAATTGGCATATGACTGTGTGATCTAATTGCAAAACTCAACCATTATTAAGAGCATTTTAAAATAAAGAATGCATTTTAAATTACCAATCTGTAGAACACACTGGATTTGTAAGTTGAAAACAATGACAAGGTATTTCAGCATTTATGTCATGGTGATTTCTCAGTTACCTAAGATAAGTGGGGTACTACACCTTTAGAAAGTCAAAAAACTTAAATACTGATAAAACTCTCTGAAAAGAAGGAAGGAAGGAAGGAAGGAAAGAAGGAAGGAAGGGAGGGAGGGAGGGAGCGAGGGAGGGAGGAAGGGAGGATAATGTCAATTGAATTTCAATTTTTATATAAGGTCCATCCAAACGGAAACATTTGGTGTTTGGAAAACGGTATGGAGGCCCTCTAGCTGGTTTTTCTCAGTGGCTAGAGAGCGTCAGCCTGCTTACTGAAGGGTCCCAGGTTCGATTCTGGTCAAGGGCACATGCCTGGGTTGCTAGCTCCATTCCCAGTGGGAGGAGTGCAAGAGGCAGCCAACCAATGATTCTCTGTCATTATTGATGTTTCTCTCTCTTTCTCCCTCTCCATTCCTCTCTGAAATCAATAAAAATACACACACACACACACACACACACACACAATGGTATAAAGGAGGGGTGTGCCAGATATATATATATTATTGGAGGGCGATGTTTCCAACTATTTGCATGGGCAATAAGCTGCCTTATAAGGAGATGCCTCTAATTACATGTAACAGTGCTAATTCACGGAACATGGAATAGGAGGAGGAGTTGCAAGAAGTTGTAAACCTTTTCCCAAAGATTCTGACTCCCTTCATTCGAGGCCTAGGGTCATTGAATTTAATGGAAACATCAATGCACATTGAAAGGGTTATTAGCTATGTAAATGTCATATTATCTCAGAGATGAGCCAAGTTGACCAAATAATGACTCTATTAGAAAGTACTTATCATCAGACATTTACACTTTGAGAAACTTGCCTCTATAAGTCTGAAAAGAGATACTTAAACTGATCTTCCTAAGGTAGGAGGGTCATTTTTATTCTGTAGTGAAGCACAGTGCTTTGGAATGGTTGTGAAATGCTCCCTGATCTCGGGCAGGAGTCATTTGCCCATAAGAAAGATGGCTACTTTAGGGCGTGTTTTTAAATCTGCGTTTCTGCTTACAGTGAAGGATCCCATAATCATTGGACCTTGGAGCAATTGAGAACACACTGCCTCTGTCGACCTAACTACTGCCAACTGGCACACAGATTTACCTTTCTAATTGATGCACAGCTTTCTTAATCACCTCTGAGTAGTCACATTGATGTTTTCTGGCCGTTACAGTTAAAGTATCTAAAACTTAGCTCGTGGAATTAAGCAGACCTAGTATCCTATGGCTGCTTAGGTTCCACTTGAAAAAGCTCATTTGACTCTTCTGGAGTTATTCTGAAGAATATTAAACTAAGGATGATAAAATATTCATTATACATCCCTATTTTAATTTTACAAGTTTGAAGGGAGTAGATATCCAATGTTTGATTTATGCTATTTGTATATGCTAAAATTAAGGCGCATAAAACTATACTCAGCATTTGTGGGGCATTGGAGAAGTATTTTATTCTGGTGACAACAGAAATATATCCATTAGGGATTGTGTCTCCTCTTTTCGTACTTTGCCCTTATCTCTTTTATGCCATCATGTTTTAAAACAGAAAGGAAATTATATGATACCAAGGAATCATGAAATTGCAAGTATATAGAGAGAACTGAAAAGTGCAACAAAATAATGCTTTTGTCCTAATTCTTCACAAGCAAATATTTGTCAAGCCTCTAAGTGCCAAGTACAGTACTAGAACTCAGACATAGGTCAATGGGTAAGACAGGCAGTGCCTCTTCTCATGAAGCTGAGGTTCTAGAGGGCAAACAGCCATAAACCACAGAAGGAGACAAATAAGTAAGCA